CTGCTAAAGTTTTGAGGTCAACTTAATTTCTGTCTCTGACTTTTAATCAGTGGAGCCGGCAGAGATATGGCAAATGCAAGAAAACAGCAAACTTGTTGCTTAGGAACAGTGAGAAATAACCCTAACTTTTCTTGAAGCATCTGATCTTATCTCCCATGGTGCACATAGCTCTGTATGTGTGTGTTTGTGTCTGTGTGTGTGTGTGTGTGTGTGTATGTGTGTGTGTGTGTGTGTGTGTATGTGTGTGTGTGTGTGTGTGTGTATGTGTGTGTGTGTGTGTGTGTGTATGTGTGTGTGTGTGTGTGTGTGTATGTGTGTGTGTGTGTGTGTGTCATGGGGGGTGGGGGTGGTGATTAGGGGAGTCAGGTTTAGCAGAGGTTGTTTCTAGGCAACAGTTTTTTTTCTTTTTATATGAAACTTGTTTGTTTTTCTGCGTTTTCTGTCTCTTCCAATTCATTATGCCACACTTTTCAACAAATATGATATCTCATCACTTAGGCAGGGTTAACTGGCTCTCTGGTGTAGGACCCAGCGTAATCTACGATGAAAACAAATGACAGCAATAAAGCTGCTTTGTGCTGTTTGGAAAACATCCCAAACATTCATTACAGCATGATATATGTGCAGTTAGTTTTGAGTAATATAGATCAGAGATAATTATGTCATCCTCAGGCTTGGATGAAATAAAAATATGCATACTCTCAACCCCAGATTTTGTGTGCGCTTACTTTGTCAACAAGGGGAAAATCGTGTTGTCTTGTTTCCTGTCTTCTCATGTTTTTGTCATAAGCGTATGCTGAAATGGTGCGATAATTATTTCAGCATGTCTTGATTTTGTTCACCCACACCCGGCCTTTCCATACACATGCCTGCAGCTTGTATGAAGTGATGTTTGAATATTTGACCTATGACAGTTGTTGGCGCGCTGCCCAGTTTTGCCTCAGATGGGAGCAGCTTGCTTGATTGCTGTCTGTGAGCTGTGGTAAGGTAAACAGACAAAACAAATAAACCTTTTTTTTTTAAATCAAGTTTCCAAGTGATAGCGAGCCTGTTGCACAGTTGTTGATGACATATGTGTGTCATCATGCAGTAGTTTGAAATGTGACCTTTTTATCCTCATCATTTTAATTAAAGCTGGATTTGTGAGTCTGGATATTTGTGTGTGTGTGTGTGTGTGTGTGTGTGTGTGTGTGTGTGTACAGAAGGCAGCAGGTGCAGATACATTTTAACGTTTGTCCTGCCTCAGATGATGCATTTTACATAAATGTTCTGAGTTACAGAATGTAATTAATAAGTAAGGAGTTGTTCTGTGCAGTTCATGTGAGGTTATTGCACCATAATTTATTTTAATACAGCTCAGTAGAAGAAGAAAAAACACATGCGCAACAAACCTACTGTATTATTTCAGAGGCATAGACTTTGACAGTACAGGCAGAGCTGCAACTAATTACCGCATCTACCCCATACTCCTCCACACATACACACACTGCACTGATTGTACTGATGTCTTTTACAGTAGAACCTCTTTGATCTGAATTTTAATTGGCTAACTGTGAGGTGTTTAATTAGCAGCTTTGAACTGGATGTTTCAGGTGGAAACCTGTGGCAGATCCTGTGTTTTGTCGCACCCCAATTAAAAGCCTCTTCCACAGAAGACATGACCTCCACGTCACCCAAACACGCTTACTGTGCACGTCCGTATGCATGTGTGAGCGTCAGAGGGCAGACAACCCACTGCTACCACTAACTGCGAGTTCACATGCAGAATCCCTTCAATTATCCTCAGGCAGCCGTTTGTCCTCATGATCCAAACGGTGCAGTGCAGCGCAGCACTTTTTTTTATCAACCTCAGCCAGGGATGATGATCTAATGACATGTAAGATGATACTGAACAAACCCATGTGAATCACAGGTCTGGTGTCATTTCATACTTTAAAAAAAAACAACAAAAAAACATATCACTGTTGATCAGTCAAAGTGATATTTAATTAGAAATGTAGGTAGACATTTTCCTCTCATGTGTCCCCAGTGTAATAGAGATAGATGATGTGTCGGACTGGAATGTCACCATGCCAGTTTTCACGCTTGTAATTACTAAAATGCCATGTTTCAGAATAGTTCATGTTGGTGATCTGACACAACATTATGATTCGGCGTGACAAAGACTCAGCAGTGACTGCTACATAGCATTCTCTATTACGCAGTGGATATCTTATTATTTTTCTATGTTTTATGTTTTCAAACATTGATGTCTGAGTCTTGAGCTATGTCATACAATGTTTTTTATGATGTGCTTGTTTTTTTGGTGTCTAGGATACTTCTTACCTTGTCTACTTTTGTACCTTGTTCATATGATTCAGATTTCTCCTTAGTTCCTAATTTCTAATGTTTCTTAAATCAGTGAAAACCCAGGGCCAACAATGGGGGTAAGTTTAGGCCTTAAGTTCTATAATTGACAAAATCTACAAAATATTATAATGTTGTCGGCAAAACATACACTATAGTAGTGTGAGCAGAAATGTGTATTTTACATTCAAGGATCAAGGATATCCTTATTATCCCTAACGGGCAATTTGTCATACAATCAGCAATAACCACACAACCATCAGACAAACAATAATGAATAATGAATGGTAAATTTCAGACTCTGATTAAATGAAATGTGATATTCTGTGAAGACCAGTTTGTGCTAAATGGTACACTAACACCTAACCTTAACTGAAATAAGAATGCACCAGAATTGCAAAGTAAAAATTCCAACCAATAAATGAACATCAACTCCTTTCTCTAACTGATGACCTGTTGATTAACACGTTTGAGTGATTCCTTTGTGTGTTATGTCCCACTCCAATATCCAATTTCAACAGGGAATACATCCAATTAAAGAAGCAAAATGCTGTTTCATGGGGACTTTAATTGTGGCACCAGTCTGATGTCAGACCACTGGAGTCTATTTCAAAGCAATGTCCCAGAACAGGGATGTGAAACAGAGTAAGTCCTTGGCCTAATTTGAGTACAGTAAAAAGAAAGAGATGCTATGGTTTCGAATGAACTTGTGTATAAGAGGAAGGCATCTGTATGGTCATCTCTTTAAAAATCAGCTCTCTACAAAAACTCAACCGTAAAAAAGAACTTGTATGAGCCAAACAAGTTGCAGGGGTCAGCTGATCCCTGTTAGCATTTACATATTTATGTATTAGGTAACAGTGAGTGCAGTATACTGAGTAGTAGCAAAAAACTGCCTTCAGTCTTCATATAATCTCAGACACACCTCTCTGTAATCTCAGTCTCATCATATAAAATTATGACAGTTATGAACTTTGCACAGGGATCTTTCCTACAGTTAGATAGTGTCCTCTGTTGGAAAAACAATGACACTACAGCTGCGATTGCTGAGTTCCCGTTGATAAATGAACTGGCCGCTTTCATACAGTTTGATTTCGTTTCACATGTGCCAAAGCAAGTACCATTACAGTTTCTCAACTTCTGTATTTTAGTAAATTACATACCCATTCTGTTCCATTTCCATTTTCAGACTGAATGCAGGACAAAACCAATTTAAACTTGGCTTGTCATACCTGTCACACACTTTAAGCTGGTGTGTGACAGTAGTCAGTGAAGACAGCGTGCAAACATTTAGAATTATCTTATCAAATATAAGGAGCAGATAAGTGTGCATCATGAGCCTTTCGATAAATGAGTTTGTATACACCTGCTTGCTGTTGCTGTCCTGTGTCGCCATGGTAGCGAACACTTTTCCATTGCAGAAACATGTTTAGACAAGAAGTCAGCTGTCATATTCCCCAAAGTAATCTCATCACATTGTTCTTCCCCAGTGGGTGGGTGAGCAGAGACCTCACCTCATCAGGCTGCTATAAAAGGAAGAACGTCTGTCTTATTCTTCTCATTTATGTTGGTACTCACTTTACTTTCTCCTTTTTTTTTGATGCTATTGTTCAGAGTTTTACCTTTTGGTACTGGCTGTTAACCCAGGCCAGTTAGCTTATTTAGATAAAAAATACATTCTTATCCTTTGATGAGATCTGAGAGTGAGAGCCAATAATAGCTGTGTAGTTTTGATATGTTTTTTCTATATTAAATGTGAGTCTTTTGTAGGTTTTTAAGCTATGGGAAAGGTTGCCTCGAAGAATTGGCTTTGAGCTCAGGCTGATCAGCAGCTTACTTTTGGCTACATTAGTAGAATAACTTTGACCTTGCCTAAGATATGCAATTTATCTTCTTTTTATTGCATACAATGCATATTTTGCTGTATGTCATCTTATCTTATACTTACTATAGTTTAGCAACTTTATACGATGACAATATGTCAATGATGTGCTTACAGCTTCTTGTGCTGCATCCAAGAGGATGGAGGATCTTTTTTCATTTTTAACCAGAATTAAAATTAAAAGGAAACAAGGAAATTTAAAAGAAAATGGTAAATAAAATGTAAAAAAAAAAAAACACTTCAAAAGCTGAAAGTAGTAGTATAAAGTACCGTTCCATACAAAAATGTGTTTGGCTCTTAGATGTTTGACCTTTACTGTGAAGACTATTGCAGTTTGTTTTCACATTCACTTCTGAAAGAGAAAATTATCACCTGATTCTGCAGCTGCCCTGGCTTTACAGAGCTTTATAGTCAGGTTCAACTCATTGTTTAACTGTCCAGCTCACAACTTTACTCTAATTTTTGACTCAGCACCAAACTCAGCAAAAAACAGCAGACAATGTCAGAGACTAACAGTTAAACATAATGGAGCATTTAGTGGCAAAAGAGACAGATATTTCCCTCAGGAGTTGGTAGAGACCAAAAACAGAGCATGAGAGTGATTATTGGACTGACACAGATGGACATGAATGATAACGAAAGATAATGTTGCTCTGTAACTGCTGGATGTGTAAATAGGCAATTGTTTGCTTATATCTTTGCCATCTTAACTTGACCCAAGTGGCCAAGAAATTAGAGTCAATAAAACATATTCATGTCCCCCAGTAGGCGGCGCCACAGGTCACGTGATAAGGGGCATTATTATTGCCGCCATGCGGCTCTTGAGACGGACAGTATTCTTAGGTGTGCTGGGGAGCAGAGGAGTATTAAGAACCATGGTAAGTACGTAGGACACAACAATATACGTTTTTCTGTTTTTTTCCTGTTAGGTGGTCTAAAGATTAATGTATGTGCTGTTGCCTGCGTGCTGAACAACACGTAAAGCTAGGGCAGATTTAGGACATCTATTTTTAAATGTGGTGCAACGAGCAAATTGGTCCGATGTTGATGCAGTCACAACCGCTAGCTCCTAGCATAATGTCGGCATTTGGCCGTTATTCATTTGGAGGTCCAACGACGAAGTTTAATTTAGTTTAATTTAATTTTACCCTGTGGCTAAACTCAGTTGCTGAGTCTCATGAATTTAACTCACATTTATTGTTTTTCCTGTTATGATAGGATGACTGGCGTTATTAGCTTGTTGTGCTGTAATGCTAACGCTGATATATGGGTTTAAAGATGCCGTGGAAATTGCTAATAATCCATGGTAATAATCTGATGTAACATAACGTCAGACTAGGAGGAGAGCCACTGTTTGTGTAATCCCTTTTATTTCCTCATTTTTACTCAAATCGCGGTTAACCCGTGATTTAACGTGGCCGCTGTTTAATCTGTCAGATTTTAGTTTTTAATCTGTTACTTCCAGCTCTTGAAAAGACAGACATGCAGGCCACACTACTGGGTTTTCCAGCCTAAACCTGTTCTGTGTAGGGATATTAATTATGACACAAATGGGCCAAAGTGCACTGAGTATCAAGAGAAGAGGTTAACTTCCTTGTTTCTCCTACCATGTGTCTGATTCATCTTGCGTGTATCGTCTTGAGTTTACGTTTGCCCTTTGGTTTGCTTTCGTGGACTTTAGCCCCGACAAACCTTTGTCTTCATTCTTCACCTTTATGCAGTGTGCTCAGGTGGGAGACTGGCAGAGTGCCAAGTCCATCTACGAGTTTTCTGCCAAGGATATTGATGGCAATGATGTGTCCCTTGAGAAATACAGGTAATATATAGGTGTATATATAAACGTAATATCATATATATTTATGCTCACAGGCTAGGGAATTAATGCCTTATACGTATAGAGTTGAATATTACAGCTCTCATGCATAGAATTTACAAATTGACAGTAGTTCTTTGTGAGTTATTTTCTTAATTTAACCTCTTATTTCTTCTGTTTTTCCTGCCAGAGGGTATGTGTGCATCATTGTAAATGTAGCCTCTAAATGAGGAAAGACCAAAGTAAACTACACTCAGCTAGCGGGAATGCACGCCTCCTATGCTGAGAAAGGTTTACGCATCCTGGGCTTTCCATGCAACCAGTTTGGAGGACAGGTAACAATCATAACCTAATGACAATACAGCTTTTGTTTATTTTATTCTCTTTATTTTGTGCTTTATCACAAGAATATTGCCAATGTTGTTGTTAATACAATGCATGACCCTTGAACTGTTAAACTACATCTTAAACCTTTCCTGCATCTCACTGTTGGTTTAGAATAATGTTATCTGGCAGGATAGAAGTAATTTAAATGATTGCTCATTTTTACACCATTCAGTTTAAACAAGCATGTGAGCTGGATTCTTGCATATTTTGGATACATTTCAGATAATTGTATTCATACCATGTATTAGCTCATTTGCAAAATTTTAAGTACTAATTTTCTTGCATGTGTGTGTGCGTGTGTTGTCCAGGAGCCGGGGACTGACGCAGAGATTAAAGAGTTTGCTAGAGGTTACAATGCAGAGTTTGACCTCTTCAGTAAAATTGATGTGAATGGAGACAATGCTCACCCTTTGTGGAAGTGGATGAAGGCACAGCCTAAAGGCAAAGGAACCCTGGGAAAGTGAGTTCTTGTCCTACTATAACTTTTTGTTTACTTGTTTACTTACAATTTTTCTTTGTGGTAATTTCATGCCACCTCGTCCAGAATTCAGAACTTCATCATTTTTCAATTTCATACTTTTCTGAAATAATTTCAGACGTCTTCAACTAGTAGCCTAAGAAAACAATAAAGAAAGTCTGGGCTAATCCCATGTGAAACAGGTTTGGGCAGATAATTGCAAAATGGATTGCAACATACCCAGAAGTATGTAATGGAATGTAATCATTATTAATTTCCTTATTAACCAGTGATAGTGATTTCATGGTGCCCTGCTTTACTGGAAATAGCCTAGAAGAAGAAGCCAACTGTCTCAAGACACTACACTAATGGAAAAGTTGATCTTTCAAGTTTGGCTGAGTTGGGAACAGACAAGGAACTATTGAAGTTGATGCCAAAAATGAGTTCAGAAAAGTTTGAGATTGTGAAATGATATACGTGTATTTAGCTAAGGAAATAAGATTAATATTTTGTTCAGACGAAACGGGAAAGGGGGCATCATCTAGTATGCAAAAAATCAAGCCATTACAAGCTGTAACATGCAAATTTCCTGAAATTTCCTCTGATACTGAGGTTGAAATCATGTGAGCTGAAGGGAAAGAGAATCACCAGGAGTTCAGAAACCTCAGGCAGAAATGTTTATTGTAAGCTGGGCTTAGGACAAAATGATGATCAGTACAAATCCAGCATGTGAATCAGACTCGTGTCACACCAATTTCTGAGGATGTCACATGTTCTTACCCAACTATTGTTATGCATATCTTGCTTTTTGTCATTCTTCACTTACACTTGTCTGGAACTGGGTTTGTGCAGTGTCCTAAGTTAGCCTTCTCCCTTCATTCCTGTCTGTAGGACCTTGGACACTATCAGTCATAATAGAAGTTACACAATCAACAATGGTTGTCTAACAACGTGTGGTCAATATGATTTGAATTCTTGAAATATGAGTGAGACCTACAAAATAAAGAAAGAAGATAGGAGAAAAATACAAAGTACTCGCTTTTGTTGCAGCCAACTTAAATTCAAGCGGACTACATACTGTGCTCCATGAAGGCTGAAACAGCAGTATTGGTGTTAATGATTAAAGTTATATTGTAATAACATTTTTTCTCTCGCTGTCTCTCCACAGTAACATCAAATGGAACTTCACTAAGGTAATTTGTTAATATTGTTGGCAGTATACCTGTAAAAGAATCATCCACAGTCAAATTTTGCCATATTTTCTTTCGACAGTTGTATGAAAATCCATGTTTGTGCTAATATTTTGATGTCTCATTCTTCAACAGTTTCTTATAAATAGAGAAGGACAAGTGGTGAAGCGGTATGGCCCAACAGATGATCCCAGCGTAAGTGGCATTCGCTCTAGTTTTTAATAATATTTCTGTGCATGCTGTGAAATATGAAATCTTTCATATAATGTTGGTGCATATTATAGTTTCCTGCTATTTTTGATTAAGTTAAAATATTGTTAATTTCAGCCATTAGAAGTTTATTCAGGCAATTTATATGAAATATGTATCCGTTTTGTAATGAACAATTCATCTCTGTCCATGGTGTTGCACTGGTGTCATAGTAAAATTTCTGCTTGTTTCTCTTCCCAGGTGGTGGAGAAGGACTTACCCACATACCTCTAATACAACTGTGTCCTATGTGTTACTTTGACTCCTGACCTCTCCTATGGAGTTCAGTGTATTTGTGTGTGTGTGTTTCTGGACCAGTGACGGCCTGTCTGTAAACCCAATTTTGGGAAGGACAAGCCTGATGATTCCCAGCGTGCAACTAACCGCCAGAGCCCACACACACCAATCCCTAGAAGACCATGAGAGAGGACATCACTAGTTGTCCAAAGTAGAGACATTTCACACCTTACTTCAGCCTCTAAACAGCCATTCCTTTTTCTAATACAAATACCATTTAGTTCTTTATGAATGATAAGTGACACATTTGTGCATGTGTCAATGTCAGTGTTATGGAAGGACAAAGGATGCCATAAACCTCACAGATTTCCATTATGCTACTGATAATATTATTTGCACTTAATTTGCCAAAGGGCCCTTTATTGTACCATGACTTATCATGTATTGAAATTGGAAAATAAATGCTGTCTTGGACACTGATTTGTCAATTTAGATTCACTTATTAAAGTAATCTAATCTGAGTCAAACTAAAGTTCAACTACTGGCTTCGTGACTGGTTACTATAGTGGCCTGTTATTTGAATATTATAATATATTGTTTATTGTAATAACCTGTTTGTTTAGATATTTTATAACTGACAATGCAAGGTTTTACATTGGTAATGCTTTGTAGTAGTTTCCTTCCTTAGAAATGCTTTAATATTTCTTGTAAATGCTAGTAATCCCACTTCAGTACATTTTTAATTTCCTTTGTAGAATTATCCAAAAGCACAATTTAATCAATAATTTTAGTAATTTATTTACAGTATGTCCAAAAATTTTATGATTCATAATTGTATACGTGATTATTCTCTGTATATGTTTGCCTGTAGACAATCTTAATATTTTTGATATTGAATTTGATATTTTTACCCAAGCAATTAATAGATTTTAATTAATCAAAAGTGTATCAGTCAAACAGTAAGCAGGCCCATAAAATAAAGCGTTACTGTGTAGTAGGGGTGGGCAGATCCATCCCTAAAGTATTGATACCAACTATGTGAAATCTTTTGAGTAGTGAAACTAGTGTCAATAGGATTGGAACCAAAAAAAGATCCCACCACGTTCAATCACATCCAGGGCACATGGACACTCTTCTTAGTGCTGCAACAGACCATTAGCATCTCTGCTGCTGTTAACGTGTTCAGTGATCACCACTTATTCAACTTTGCTGTATGTTTTAAAATTAGCTATTTTTTGGTATCATGCATTATTTTTCAGCTATTTTTTTTAAATTATTTTCTGTAGTGTTGGGTTCATTACTAAACAGCTGATAAGCTTATGAAATATAAAATTAAAATGTCAGGAACAGCCTCTCACTGGTAGGCCACGGTGTGTGCTGAGTTAACGCTCTCTCGGTTAAACGGTCACTTGTGAGCTGAGCAGGATGATGATGCCGTAGCGGCACGCGCATCAGCCGTTGCGTGAGAGTGATGACGCACAGCAGCGGCAGAGATGATCGGCACCGCTGGCCCTGAACGTGTCGCTGCGTTTGGCAATACACAGCGGCAAATACACATTCGTGCAGTGCAATGTAGTCTGTAACCGTAGCAGTAAACATAGAAGAAGGTAAAATGAGAGCATTTCTAGGTTGTTTGGGAGCGCATACCTCCGCATCTGGTTCTCTTTGAGGAAGGACACGGCTGCGCGTCGTCGTCAGGAACCGTCCGGGAGATGGACGGGAGGACTGCGGAAACCGGGGATGACGGGACTACGAGCGAGGCAGCGGCCGCCGGCCTCTGCTTACAGCTTGACCTGGGGGACACCGGTTCGTATGTCTTTCAGTTAGCGTTAGAGCGACATATAGTTAAAGACTCCCATCACTGTGGTGGGCTTATTCAAACCCAGCTGTCGGTGGCAGTACGTGCACCGGGGAAAGGAATATGGACCTAAGTGAGCAGCTTCCTACCATGCAGTCATATTTGAATGTAGACGATACAGAAAAAAAAATTGCCACTTAGGCAGATACAGAAAATTGTAGTGAGGGGAATCTAAGCTATGGAACTGAATAATTAATTGCATGGTTAGATAACAGGGTCAAGATTCAAGTGACTGCTGCTCAGTTGTAAATGGCCCAAAGTGTCAGTGGCTCACTGCAGGTTGGCACAAACACAAAGTGCAATGGCATGCATACACAGTCCCACAAAACCTAATAAATACAAGCTGCTTTGAGAAAAATTGTACATATTATCATAATAAGATTGCATGTAGGTTTTACACACACAGTTGTATGTACAGTATCTGCAGGAGCTATAGCTTTGTTTGACACCTACACATGATGGGCTGCTGCTCAGCATCCACTATAGTAAACATGCTGTAGTCTCTCAGGTGTCATTTTGTTCCTCTCCTCAACCTCTGTCTGTCCTCTTACTATCTCTCTTCCTCTTCCTGGCTAAATCTGAAGAGTGCCTTGCATAATCTGATATGGAATTATAACATAAACCACACACTAATCCCTTGTGGGTATCAATTCCAAGCATTGCTGTAGATGTCATGGCTACAAATACAACAGGATATGCATGACAGGTTTATGATATTTTATGTGCAAATATAATGTGCAGAAAGAAAGAAAGAGAGCAGATTTGATCCTCATCAGTTTAGCAGGCCCAACAAGCTATCTTTGCATGTGCATGCACATGCATACAGTGGATGTTTGCGTACACATGATTATTATTAAATCCACCGGATTTGACGTCTGTGCAGAGAGTCTCGAGGCATCAAAATCTACTCCTGTGTTTAGTGTCGCATTAATGTCATAGCAACAGGCCGCCATTTTCTCAGTTGATAAGGGAGAGATCTAATCCTCTTAACTATGACACACACAGGCCTTAAGGCATACTTCTCTTAATATTGACATAAAATATTACACGACAAGAATAACCTTTCTGAGTGAGCTTTCAGTACATGTACATTTCCTTAGTGTTTTAATTTAAGACATTGAAAGCACATCATCTTATATGTTGTCTGTTACTCACATAATAATCAGAAATGCTACAGTGAGTTAGCCCCATTTGTTGTTTGCAGCTCAGTGGCACATTATTCTGGCATGACCCTAATCCTACGGAGACTCTTTGTGTGTGCGCCTGTCCCAGGATACTCCTTCTCATTGTTCTGCCTTACAGGCTTTGATGCAACGTTAATCAGGTTACAGGTGTGGGCAGCCATGTGCAGCCTGTCACTGCACTAAAGGGCATTAAAGTAACAAAGAAATAAATGAAATTACTGTATGAGGATTCACTCATTTTTGTTTGTGCAGTCGAATGCTGAATTTTGTAACCATGATTTTACGGGATGCTTCTTGATGCAATTTCCTAAGCCTGTTTCATGCACCAAAAATATTGCTCAACAGTTTCCCTTTCACCTCTTAAATTTACATGCTCATGGCAATTTTGGTTTATCTTGTTGTCAGTTGGTCCAGTACTTTTGGTCCAGATATCTCAGCAACCACTGAATTGAATGAAATTCATTACATTCATTCATGTCACCCTCAGGATGAAGTTTAGTAACTTTGGTGAGCTGCTGATTTTTCATCTAGCGCCACTATGAGGTCAACATTTAAATTTGTCTAACATTTAGTTTTATGACTAAATACCTGCAAAACGAATGACATTCCCATGAGCCCCAACTGTACTTTGTGTTTGTGCAAATTTAGCAAATTTAGCATGCTAAAATGCTAAACTAAGATTGTGACCATGGTAACACTTAAACCTGCTAAACATCAGCATGTTAACATTGTCACTGTGAGTATGTTAGCCTTAGCCTTTGGCTCTAAGCATTGTTGTGCCTAAGTAAAGCCTCACAGACACTAGTATAGCTGAAGCCTTATTATTAATGCAGTTGCCATGTAAGGCAGCTTGAGTCAGAGTAGAGGTACAAATATACATGGCTCTAGAAAACTAAATCAAACATGCTGCATGCAAGTTTGAATTTTGACAGTTCAGATTGTATGTTTGTTTCATATTGTTTGTATCTACCAACCCACCAATGAGAAATCATTATTATATATTAATTATAATTGAACTATTATTGTATTTTGTCATGGCTCAGTGATAGCAACATACACTAGTGTGTGCTGTGTGCTTTAACATGGTTTAAAGTTTCATTATCCCTGCTCAATCAGCAACACTTAATCTTCACCCTCACATGACCTGAAATTCAACATCATGATGTACACTAAACCAAGTAACTTGTAGTACTGTGAAGTACTGTTTCTTTTCCCATTCATTTTCTCCCTTCCTGCTCACTCATGCTTTTCAATAAACAGACACATACAGACACAGTTCAGTTGCGTCCTTCATGTCGGTTCAAAAAAGATTCTTCCTAATCCTTGTGCGTGATTGGACAGTGGTGTGATCTGGAGACCTCAGCCAATGGCAGCACTCAGATTAGAGAGGAAGTCAATCCAATAGAGTTTTTACCTTCTTGGTGCAAATCTCACTGATCCAGGAATAGAAAAAACTGACTGCACACTGCAGTGGTCTGACCGCTGAATGTCAGATTTTGGTTTAGTCAGGGTTTTTTTCTGCATGACTTTTTTCTTTCTGGATTATCAAACATTTGGTAACCTGTAGGCACTGAACTCCTCTGCTGGTGAGTTAACCACCAATTTATTTGGAACGAGGTTGATGAAGTTAAATTTGTAGTATTGTAGTTGCTGAATTAGCTTGGATCAAGTGCAATGAATGTATTGTGCATCCTTCCTTTTAAATAAACAAAATAAAGTTAGAATGAGCTAAAGGATGTGGATCTGGATGTTGATAAAATAACCTCACCACAAGGTCCATTAGTAGCTGTTCTAGAGCTTTCAATTGTATCACACCATCTTGATCAGCAGATTAAGTTTCTCCAGTCGTCATGGAATTCTATATGTTTGAATTTTCATTTTTCTGTGTGTTTCAGGATATTTAGATGATTGTATAGATCAGATATTATATCTGATTGCACATTACCACATTTCTTCATCATAGGAAATGTATCTATAGCATCTATATTTGCCTTGTGGCTGGTGGATGTTCCTTAAACTTATTTTATCTTGGTAAGAATCACCGATCACAAAAACAAAGTCGTCATTAATTGCTAAATCGCACTAAATAATATACCACTGTGGACACTTCTGAACCTGTTTCTCCTGCACCTTCTCTCTTTTTCTGTCCACAGATTCAGCCAAGAAGGCTCAGATAACAGAGGTGAGAGGCGACTTCACACTATACACCCATCTGTCTCACTTGAATTTCTCTTTCCCTTCTTTCCTCTGTATTAGTTTGCTGTGTATGACTTCTGATTGGACTATGTACAATATATGCATTGCCTATATCACATATACATTTGCACTCCCTGTTTCTTTCCTTGTGACAGATGCCGTCCCCATTCGGAGTGGGCCCAGCCCATGAGAAAAAGATTGGCCACAGGAGGGTAGATGCCTCTGGTGAGACAACGTACAAGAAGGTAGACCTTTCCTCTTCATCTGTCTCTCTCTTTGTCTTTTGTCTTATATACTGTTTGTAGGTTTACTTGGTGTCACGATTTCATCAACTACTTTCCACCCACACCTTAGTGTGTTGCTCTTTTCATTGTTCTCCACCTCCAGACCACCTCCTCTGCCTTGAAAGGGGCCATCCAGCTGGGCATTGGATATACTGTTGGCAACCTCAGCTCTAAGCCTGAGAGAGATGTGCTGATGCAGGACTTCTATGTGGTCGAAAGCATCTTCTTCCCCAGGTACGTTTGTATGAGTGTAGTTTATGAGCATATGTGTGTGGGAAGTATCTTATATAATCTTTCATCTTCTTTCACTCTTCCTAATGGCCCCACCTTGCTTCACACAGTGAAGGCAGCAACCTCACACCAGCCCACCACTTCCCAGACTTCAGGTTTAAAACCTACGCTCCTGTGGCCTTCCGCTACTTCCGAGAGCTGTTTGGAATACGACCAGATGACTACTTGGTGAGATATTACTTTTCTCGGATGACTCGTGATGCATTTAGAATATCTGAATGCTTTATAATATGCTGTGCAAGTGAAATGTTTTCTGTTACATACATCACCAATAATGCATATGCACACCATGCTTAATTATTTGCTTCAGAACACCTGATAGTTAACTAACTGCTGGTACCCTGGTGTTTTGCTGCACAACTAACTGAGAAAGAAAAACAAAGAAAAAAAAAAATTATTTTTTATATAAATTGTATTGATACAATACTCTTGAGTATTACATATAACAAAACCATACTACGACAACCAAAACATACATCTGTATTGTCTAAATTGGGAATTTGTCAAATGAGAGTTCTGAAAAAGTTTTTTTTTCTCTTGCTTGTTACATTTCATTTGGTAGGAGTGGAAAAGATAACCCTGTATGATACAAGCAAACATAAACCAAACATAGATTTGTGTGAGGATCCATCTGACAGTATTTGACTGATGATCAATGGCGTTATCAAAGAAAACATGCTTCCTGTCACATCAGACTTGTGCTGATGTGAGGATGATCATTAAACGCCCTCACATATAAAATGAAAATCGTGCTCACACAAACACAAAAAAAAGACTGTTGCACATGCCCTCATATATTTTGCATGTCATGGTACATACACACAAACACACACCCACCACCCCCTCACAAACACACACACACACACACACACACACACACACACACACACGCGCAGTGACATAGTGCTCAGCTGCATGTCTAAGCTCACATTCTACTTGTGCCAGAGGGAGATTAGTAGACTAAAGATGTCTTTTTTAAACTCCAAGTTGTGGCAGCAGATAGTCAGAGAGTAGTTTATGTTTGTGTCTGCGTGTGTTTGTGTTGGTGGTGGAGGGGTCGAGTAGTGGTATAATTGCATTGTTTTGCCTAAGCCATAGAAAATTGATTTACTTAGTAAGACAAATGAACAAAAAGCAATGGGTGCTTTCTTGTATTTTCCTTAAGTCATCTTAAGTCTCTTGTTTACAAAGTCTTAATGGCTGTAAGATATCCAGTGTGAATTTAAGCTGCTGATCCTATTGAAGTGTTGATGTTGGGCTGCTACATGTGAAGTTTAATATTGTTCACTTCAGTTCAACAAAATTCCTGATAATCGACACTATCTTCAGCACCAGCTTGAATCAGCATTGCCACAGTCAGTTTAGAAACCTCACTGGGATTACTAATACTATGTTAGTGCATAAATGTCACATTACACTCACTCTAATAATCTAGATGCAATACTTCCCACCTACGCTCAGAACGCCTTTTTCTACTCAGCAGTGAGTACGCCCTTGCACTTTTAAAACAAAGTTCTCTTTTTGCTGCCGATGTGCTGTGCCATATGAGTGGGTAGATAGATTAGTCTTTTGGTTGGCTATTTGAAAGCTCTATTGGATCCAACATTAACAGTGCAACCCTGCAGCACCCAAATGAAATTACAAACTCGGGTGACATTTAATGACATTTTTAACGCCCTCCTTTGCTAGAGGGACAGCTTATTCCTTTTAAATCAGTAAAGCAAGCTTGAAAATAAATAAAGTCTGCTTTTATGGCTATATTGAAACAGCCTTTTCAAAAATTTTTGGTCAAATTATATGACTTAAAGCAAGACACCAGTTCAAATCTTAATATATGTTTGTTCCTCTGTGTCTCTGCTCTGTCTAGTATTCTCTATGTAATGAGCCACTCATCGAGTTGACAAATCCAGGAGCTAGTGGCTCCATATTCTACGTAACCCGTGATGACGAGTTTATCATCAAAACTGTCCTGCACAAGGAGGCTGAGTTCCTACAGAAACTGCTTCCTGGATACTATATGGTAAGTCAAACTGAGCCTTTCACTCATTAGAATCATTTCAATTGCACACTGTTAATATTTAGTATAAAGAGTTTGAAAAATGTTTACAAAATTATCATTTTGCACTTTTTAAAAATTAAAATCCTTGCCATAGGTTTTTTAATGGTATGTCTATTGAGAGTTTTTGGTGTATAGGGTGTTTGTATACATGAGCGTATGCTTAAGAGCAAAGCAGCAGCTGAAACTTGTACTCATCTTTATCCTCTTTATCCTACCTCTTGGTGTTGGCCTCAGTCAGCAGTGACGCCAGCATGTGACTTTGTGATAGATAAGAGCAGAGAGGTTATACCTGCCCGAGACCCAGGCTAAGCACTCCTTAACAGGTTAAGCATGCACACAGCAGAGACACACAGGGCTGAGGCCTGTGGGTGGGTCACGCTGTGCGGCAGGTGCACTGTACTAGGGCCAAACCACAAAGACTGTATGTCTTATTACTAAATAACATTTCTTTATTTCTCCCTCTCTCTTCTCCTATGTCTACTGCACTAACCCCGCTCCAGAACTTGAACCAGAACCCCCGGACTTTACTGCCTAAGTTTTTTGGCCTCTACTGCGTCCAGTGTGGGGGCAAGAACATCAGAGTTGTTGTGATGAACAATATTTTACCACGCTCTGTACGCATGCACCTCAAGTTTGACCTGAAGGGCTCCACATACAAGAGACGAGCTTCTAAGAAGGAAAGAGAGAAGTCCAAACCCACTTTTAAAGACCTGGACTTTCTGAATGACGTTCCTGATGGTCTCATTCTGGACCAAGACACATACAGTGCTCTGGTGAAAACTCTGCAAAGAGACTGTCTGGTGAGAGCCATAAGTAGATTAACAGTCTACAGAGCAGCACAGCCAACCACACATAAAGTATTTAACTATTTTTATCTATTATTAGATGAATTATAGAGCAATTAAAAGGTAGAATAAAAGAATAGATTATATGGCTCATGTATTTTTAATGTACATGTTAATTTTGGCCATGCCCTTGGCTGTGAAATTATATCTATACATTTTCTTGGAAGCTTGGGAAATGTTTTGAAATGTCGTGTTCCTGTGTGTTTCATTTTAGGTTCTGGAGAGTTTTAAGATTATGGACTACAGTTTGCTGCTCGGGGTCCACAACAAGACCCAAGCAGAGAGAGAGTCTCAGTCCCAGGGCTCACCTGCAGGTGGTGGAGATGAGAAAAAACCTGCAGCCCAGAGAGCATTATATTCCACTGCAATGGAGTCCATACAGGGAGGCTCCACGTGCAGGGATACGCTGGACCATGATGACACGTAAGTCACCATTTCATCAAGTTTGCCGTTATCATCACAGTAAATTATTCAAATGATAGTAATGTTCTCCTCTCTGACTGTAGCATGGGAGGTATTCCAGCTGTTGGTGGTAAAGGAGAGCGCCTTCTGCTGTTCATCGGTATCATTGACATTCTGCAATCCTACAGGTAGGCAACAAAAAAGGTTAAGGTTAAAGGTTAAGGAGGTTAAAGATGTTTTACAGTTGTGCAATGTAATTTCAAGAAATGAATACATAAAATGTTGCTGTTCTTCCAGCATAAACAGAACTTTTAGAGTTTCCCATAATGCCAGATGTCTTCTACATGCCTCCAACATTTTATATTCTGAAGTAAAGCTAAAGAAAAATGAATGAGGCCCTTAACTTAAGAAATGGTAAGAAAGGGTAATAAATCCAAAGTATTATAATTAATGTGTTAATGATATGTTGATTTTGAAAGTGCTGTACATACTGTATATACACTTATATGCACTCTGCAAGGTTGCACTGATTTCAGGCAGTCTTTTATTGGACACCTCGGGACACGTTAAATGACAAATATTGGATTTCTCTCTGGCTTCAAACTCAGGAGCTGGTTAGTGGATGGGCTTGGTGCCCCTGCAAGGAATAGTAAAAGATGGCAAGAGATCAAGGAGAAAAAACAGTCCAAAGCATGTCACAATGTTTTTAAATAAATACAAATGGAGGGGAAACAGAACTGGGGTCTGTGAAGTGTGGACATACAGAGGTGTGAAGGTCGTACATGAAATCCAGTCTTTTAAAACAGATCTTAAAATTCACATTGACATTCCTAGTGGCACTGTAGCCTCTGATTCAGCCCCGAGTTGCCAGGTAACCACAGTAAGTTACTGAATGAGCTAAATAATTTAATTGTCTTGTCTGACAGACTGATTAAAAAGCTGGAGCACTCTTGGAAGTCCCTTATCCATGACGGGGTGAGTAGCTTTCACACAACTGTTGTGTAATAGTCTGTATCCAAGGACAACCTTATTTTGTCTCTATGTCGGTCTTTCATGTAATAGGAGAGTACCTTCATTTCCATTGTCAATGAAAAGATCAACATCATTAAAAATGCTTGGTTTCCTTTTTTCATTGCTACCCCTGCCGCCCAACAGGACACGGTGTCAGTTCACAGACCTGGTTTCTATGCTGAGAGGTTCTACAAGTTCTGTAGCACCATTGTCTTCAAGAAGAGCTGCTGTGAGTCTACAAATGTGCATGAACCATACACTCCGCTACTTTCTTATGTTTGATGACAACAATGCCAATAAGGAATTATTGTGTTTTTTTCCATATTAATTGTTGGGACTTTTTTTTTCTGGAATGAGAGTACAAGTAAAATTTCCCCTGCTTTCACAGCATTGCGATCCTCTCCATCTAAAAGGGGCCGCGGGGCTCTCTCCATGTCCAAGTCCAGTGCCGGTACCAGTTCAGCTGGACAGCGTCCCTCATTGAGTGATGAGAGGCAGGAAAACCTTGACAACTTGGAGAACCTACGAGGAGCTCGCAGCTTCCCCATGCTGGAGGACAATGGTAGGACTTGTTGTAAACTCTGTTAGTCCAAAGTGGTATTAAGTTTTGACATGTAATGAGCAGGTGCAGGTGATATAAGCAGAAACATGTTACCCACAAGGTCCAGGTTGTCTTTTTTCATTACAAGTGAAAATGGGATGTTTAATTTCAAAGAAAAAAAGACTTGAACTAATTAGTCTGGGATTGTTTATCAAGGCTAGCTGCCCTCGTCTAAGGTCGTGAGGAAATGTCTAAGCAACATGTGAGTGCTGCTGGAATAAAATACTACAAAATAGAATGAACAAGTGATCGCTGGTTTTCCCTTGTCCCCTTTTTTCTTTCTGAACTTGGCACACTATTAGCTTCAATTGTCTGCACTTGAGTGTTCCATTTTCTCTTTAAATGAAATTAAGTGAACCTGTATTGATCCTTGTGGAGAAAAAAGTGCAGGAGCAGAATAACAGTAATAGCAAAAACATCAAAGTAAAACTTAAAGAAATTGAGACTAGATGTGCAGAGAAAACCACCACACTTTAGGAAACCATAATGTGAGATGTACACAGGTACACCATAAATAATAGAACTACAGTAAACATCCCCAATATAGTGTCAAGCAAAACTGCACTGACAGCAGTACTCTCAGAGCTGACAGCAATTGTCTGAGGTGTAGTGTTATACAACTAGATGACAGTTTGAGTGAATGATTGAGGCACTCTGTGGTACAAACACACATACGGTACTTCTGCTTCTGTATATGCCTAATTTTAGTTTGCAGATTTATGTTAAAGCAATTAAGTTCTGTTACTTATTTTCTTTTCTCTATATTTTCATCTCTCCTGCACATGACTCACAATCTCTTACTTAATCATGCCACTCAGGGAGAGAACCACCCTGCACTCCTCCTTCATTTGAAGATGCAACCACAGCATCTATCGCTACCACGCTTTCCTCTAACAACTCCTTACCCACCACCCCCTTCGATACACCAGAGCACCCACGCTACAGGAGACAAATGCACTCACCGAGTGTGGTCAGGTCAGAATACTTGTATGAGTATTGTTTAAGTTTGCTACTCCTCATATGTGCTGCTCTGCGCTTTTCACACCCTCTGTTTTCTCATGTATTTTCAGGTCACAAAAAGAGATAGTTGAGATTCATGGGGAAAAGCAGGACACCATAACAGTGGAGGTGGAGCTCAGGTGCACACATATAAAGGATGAAAATACTAGGATAATGTCCATAGCTGCCTGTGTAACGGTATTTTAACTTTGTTCTTTATCTTGCCTCATACAGTAAAATCCCAAAGAGCACAGAGCTCACACAGATGACAGGAATGACCTCTCCCAGCCATCTGTCACCTGATCATCAGCCCCGTATCTTTGCTTCATCCACCCCTCCCTCTGTTACTCCATCCTCCGCATATTCCTCCTCTACCCTTCCTCCTTCCTTTGCTTCCTCCTCCTCCACTGCTCAATCAGCTGGGCAGTCATCCGCCACACTTACTTCATCCATCCGTCCATCCACCAAACCACTCACCTCTCCCACAGCTGCTCAGTCTTCCACTCTTTCTCCTCTGATCTCTCGTTCAGCCACACAATCCACACCTCCCACCTCAGCAAATGCCTCCACGCTCCCTCCTGCCTCAGCATTCACTCCCATCTGCCCCGCATCCCCTCACTATTCCACCCAGAGCTCCTCTCACCATCTCCCCTCAACGCCTCCCTCCTCTGTCCCTCCGAGCCCCCAGGTGCCTCAGCGGGCACCACGTACATCATGCAATCAACTATCTGTGTCCAGCAGCCACAACTCACTGGATGGAGAGGTGCAGGTGTCCGACATCTACTTTGTAAGTTCCCATAATCATGTTTCAGTGCTTCAGTTTTTTTGATGGATGGATGTTCAAAGTGAGATTATGAACCAGTTTCAGTCGCAGTAGGTGAACTGCCATTATCTTACCAGACCGACAGAATAAAGGATATACTGTATAATTACATATACATTATACCATTAATGGATGAATCCACTTCCAGAGAGTAAAGATATTTTTTTCTTCTTGTTTTTCTTTGATCTACTGGGTCTTTTGCAGTGGCCCAGTCAGGACAGCGTGGTAGAGTTATGATGGTGAGGGGTCAGGGCGTGTGTGTTGCGGTATGCACGTACTATGGGGTTGCTCTCGCTGTTCAAAATGCTTTTTCCTGAAGCACGAGGCTGCCACCAGTCATAGTTCATGCTTTTGAATGTACCAACAAAACACTGGGGTTGTCTTTCCTGCACAGCATGATGTATTTATATCTGTCAATCTGCATTCATGCGCCTGTCAATGTCATGCACAGCTCTCCATAATTCAGTCTTTTGTGTGAATTTTTGCTGATGAATCTACATCATTGCATTCATACTCCATTTTCACTTTCTTCTCTTTCTAGCTTCTGTAATAACTGCTTCACACCATCCCTTATGTTTCTCCTTTGTTGTATAATAATTCAATTCCATTTATTTTCCTGTCGACACATTACAAGCATCTGTGTGTTCATCTGTGTGTGTGTGTGTGTGTGTGTGTGTCCATCCATCAGTATGCAGATGGCAGATATTGGGTGTACTCTCCAGTTCTTGGCCGTCGTAAGCTAAACTCTAGCTCGAGTTACAATGTAAGTCACCACCGAGGTAGTTCGAGTCATTTGTAATGCTAGAAGATGTTCCCACATGCAGAGGCATTGCTGGTAACTGTTCCACTGGGACTGTCACAAGCACAGCCGCTTATGGATCTTCAGAAGTACTTAAAGGAAAACTACAGTGGATTTCAGATGATTTATTTAGTGTTAAAGTCTGCAAAAAAAAAAAATACTACATGTACAAACTACAGCTTCTGAAGGGCCATTTTGTGCATTTAAATGGAATATGCATCTGTATGTATCACAGTTCCGGTAAACAGTAAATTAAATGTTTGAGGATCATGGACCTGCAGTCAGTTAACTGTCACTTGTATTGACTTTGTATTTTTAGTGATCCCTCACGCTTCTGCCCTCGAGCTCCCAGGTAGCACAGAGGAGCTGACAAGCTGATTAATGTTGTCAGTGCTTGGCTGGAATGAAATCCTCTGCCTGACGGTGAAAATTACCTATTTATTAAAGCTGCACTTGGCACATTGTAAAGCGCCTGAAAACCTGGTTTTATTAAGTATGTGTGGCTATAGTTTCAGAGATCAGATGTGATTGACAGTGCTGGCAACATAAGCAAACAACCCCACAACTGTCTTCAGATTTAGATTCAAATGTTGCTGAATTCTAACTGAAGCACAAGCGCATTACATCATATATGTCCAACTGAGTCTCCCTGACTTTAAACCACTGAGAAAAAGTACCCATCTTAGTTAAATGTTAAACAGCAAGTGTAGACACCTAGACACATCTAACTATCCAAGAACTGATCATTTAAAACCCAACAAACAAAAAGAAAATTGTCCTCGGAACAGTAATAACCAATCACATACTGACCATGAGCACACTGTATGCAGTTGAAACATGAATGTGGGGGTCCTTTGGCGCTCCCAACATGTTAAATTGCACAGTTCAGCTTTAAACAACTCATTGTCTGGAGAATGTTCTTATATATATTTATAATATAAATATCTTTCCCCAACTCAATTCTCATTCTTCTCCTCTCATCTTCTTTCCCCTGCTGCTGCCGTCTGCCGGTTGAATTTAACATCAGCAGACTCAGGACGATAGGAGCTGGGTGTACTCTCCTCTGCACCCAGGCTCAGAGTCCAGAAGGGGCTCAGATGGGGAGAGTTAGGCGGTAAGTGTACAGTTCATTCATGATTTACAGTTAATGCAACGCAGATGAGTGGATATATTTGTTGCTTCTAGCATCTATTTATTTAATCCTCTGTTTCTCTCTCTTGCTCTACTTCTCTCACAGTGGAGACAGCAGTGATGGGTGGAGCCAGAGGCCATCTCCATATACAGAGGCTGCAAGGTTTCAATAATAAAGCCACCAGGAAGCCACTATGAAGACTTAATGCTGGATGCCCAAGCTGCATGTGGAAGCTCGCTTTGCCAACCGTGACAGACTACAGGAATGAATTTAGAAGCATTGAAGAATACAAGAACACGAACACAAATATACATTAAAACAAATGCATGGAGAATCATAACATAAAAATAAACAAAAATGTTAAATCATCAATTCATGGACAATCTAACTGACATCAAGTGGAGAAATAAAGCAACTGTGAATGACTCTGGTGGCTGTTAAGTCAGGTATCCTTGCAGTCCTGTTGCCTGATATGGAGGTTTTTAGTGCTCATGAGTTTCGCTGCACTGTGCAAACTCTGGCTATGCAATATGGACATACAGTACGTGATATCAATTCCTCTTTTTGACTGAGTTTGAGTTTATTCATGCATTTATTTTTCACTAGCGGCATGTCAAAGCTGTATATAATTTTATTTTTAGCACTTTATCAAAGAGGCTACATGTGGCTGAGGTCTTTTGTCATTGTATATGTTTTGTTGTTTGTCATCAGTTATTGTGTGAAAACACACTCAAACACAGTTAATGTTTTGTGTGCTGTGTATGCACAGCGTCCTGTTTTTCCAGTGGTGTTTGGTGGTCCATTGAAGAAACTTTGATCTGACAATGAGTGGTTGTATTCAAAATGCCTTATCGACAAACTCATTTTCATAACTGTTTTTGATATTTCGGTCACATGTAATCATTTAAAAAAAAAAAACAACATAAAAATATAAACATACAGAGTATTTTATTGTGCATAAATACCAAATCTTTGAAGCAGAGTTTAAACAATATAGCAGCCATGCATTTACACCTTTTCAGGATTATAACAGAGATATCAAGAGAGAGCAAAGGAAAAAAATTAATCAAATTATCTTTTGTAAATTGTAGATAAACTCTGCGTGCTTAAGCACATGCATGTAAGTATGTACGCCCCCTTTTGTCTCTGTGTGCATGTGTTTGCATGCATATGATGTGTGACTGGGAGACATGTAAGTGCAAGATTTTTCTGTCCTGCCTATTTGTCATATCGTCAAAAGATGTAATGTCCATTTGTTGTTATAAGCCATGAAGGTCTGAACCAGCTATAAGCATGTTGGCTGTGTGAGAAATATGAAATACAGGTATCCCAGTCTTTAATGACGCTGGATTAATCCTAATTTACCAAATTAAACAAACAGAGCTTTTCCATACAGTTTAGTGAGAATAGACAGACAGTATCTACTGTCTTTCATACAGGGTTGTACTTGCTGAAACAAGACTAAGCATACTCTAACTTCCTGTCTGTGTCAGTAAGAACTGCTGCAAGTTATCGTATCATTCGAGTCTGCTGCAGTTAAAATGCCTGTTTATAGGCAACAGTGTTTGTAGCTGATCACTGTGTAAAAGAAAATAAAGATTATATTGTGTAATAAATATTTTTTGGTTGATTTGAGTGTTTTTCTATGATGAGATCACATTCACGAACAAGCTTCAAGGAGAATATATTTGTAAAATTTTATTTGCCAAATTAGCCCACTAGATGGCACCACAATGTCTCAGAAAATACAATTCTCAATCCTGCCTCATGTTGAGTAGAATCCCATACAGTATTTTGGGCTACTTGAAAATTCAAAACTCTACCTTGCACTGTAAAATTAAATTGCCCAAAGACATATGCCAGTATATGAGCTACCTATAGGCCATAATGAATTTTATTGTGTTCTTTGATGGATCGTAAAATAGAAGCTCATATTTAAAGCCTCCACAAACACACACAAACATAATGATATGAGATGTTGATTGCTTTACTGGGGCTGGCTTTTTTATTTTCTCTGCAGAGGCTTTGCTGCTAAAAATAAATTGGAATAAAACAGATAAGAATCAATATGGCTTCAACCAAAACATCTCACTGGAATCTTATCTAGCTATCTCCTTTAATACATAGTCTCTCTCTCTATATATATATCTATATCTATAGATATAGATATAGATATAGATATATATATCTATATCTATATATACATATAGATATAGATATATATAAAGGGAAAACAGAAGTAAAATATATGCAATTCAATGACATGCACAATATGTCAATTGGCGACTCTAATGCCTTACTGTACTATGACTTTTTCTTACTTACTATACTATGATGTTTTTATGCCTTCCTATAATATTTTTGTGCCTTACTACAATATGATATTTTTGTGCCTTGTTTCTTATGTCTTGCAATACTATTACTTTTTTTGCCTTACTATACTATGACTTTTTTATTACTGACATTTTTATACTATACTATGACATTTTATACTTTATTATACTGTGACTTTGTTGTTCCCTAATATATTATGATGTGTTTATGACTCACTATACTATGACTTTTATACCATACAATAGTATGACTTTTTAAGACTGACTATACATTGACTTTTTAATTACTCACTTTAATATAACTTTTCACACCTTACTATACGGTGACACTGTATGACATTTCTGTGCCTTACTATACTATGTTTGCATTAGTGTACTTTTTTTTTTGCCATTTCTATGTCTTATTGTAATATGATGTTTTTATGCCTTACTATATTATGATGTTTTTTGACATGTTTATGCCTTACTTTACTATGAGGTTTTTATACCTTACTATACTATGACGTTTTTTTACATTTTTTTTCCTTACCATGCTATGACGTTATTATGCCTTACTACAGTACACCGTTTTGACGCCTTACTATGCTATGACTTTTTGGGACATTTTTATGCCTTGCTATACTACGACGTTTAATGACATTTTTGAGGCCTTAATATACTATGACATTTGTATACTTTCCTATATTACTTTCCTATTACGTTTTTTGATGTTTTTATGCCTTAATGCACTATGCCATTATTTCATTCTTTAGCTTTTGTTGCCATCCTATAGTATGTCGTTCTTCTCACTTTTAAGGGCTTAATATACAGTGACATCTCTATACCTTATATTATGACGTTTTTGACATTTTTATGCCGTAATAAACTATGCCATTTTTAGACTATTTTGCCATATGTAATTTTTTCACTTTTTTTTGACATACAATACTATGTCGTTTTTTTCACTTTAAGGCCTTAATATAATATGACATTTGTATACCTTACTATATTATGACTTTTTTAAGTTTTTACGCCTTAATACACTATGTCGTTTTTTCATTCTTTTTTCCATAATGTACCATGTCGTTTTTCTCACTTTTTTGGGCCTTAATGTAGTATGACATTTATATAACTTACTATATTATGATGTATTTTTTTGACGTTTTTATACCTTAATACAGTATGTCGTTTTTCTCACTTTTTTGCCTTACTATACTATGTTTTATTTTCTCACTTATTAGGCCTTAATGTACTATGACATTTGTATAACTTAGTATATTATGACGTTTTTATGCATTAATACACTATGCTATTTTTCACTTTTTTGCCATACTATACTATGTTGTTTTTTCACTTATATTTTGCCATACTATAATATGACATTTTTCTCACTGTTTAGGTCTTAATATACTATATACCTTTCTATATTATGACGTTTTTTGATGTTTTTATGCCTTAATATACTATGCCATTTTTTCATTATTTTTGCCATACTATACTATGTCGTTTTTTCACTTTTTTTACCATACTAATGTTACCAACTGGCTCCAGGCCAACAACAACAAGGGAGACCACACACAGACACTTCAATCAAGAAATGATTTATCTAACTCAAATGAATAAACAAGGTAACTACAAAATGGGGTGTGTGAGTAAGAGAGTCATCAGTCGTTTCAGAGGTGTGTGGATGAGTGAAAATATGGTGTAATGTGTGTTTTAAGAAGCAACAAACCAAACAGAGAAACACGTGTCTGTAGCAGGCCAGGCTTTCTGCCTTACTGTATTGTGATGTTTTTTGATGCTTTTATGCCTTAATGTACTATGCCATTTTTTCACTTTTTTGCCATACTATACTATGTTGTTTTTCTCACTTTTTAGGCCTTAATATACTGTGACATCTTTGTAACTTACTATATTGTGATGTTTTTTGATGCTTTTATGCCTTAATAAACTATGCCATTTTTTAACTTTCTTGCGATACTAAACTATGTTGTTTTTTCACTTTTTTTGCAATACTATACTATGACATTTTTCTCACTTTTTTGGACATAATATACTATGAGTACTGTATACCTTTCTATATTATGACGTTTTTTGAACTTCTAACTTCTAACTTTTCAGGCCTTAATATATTATGACTTCTGTGGGTCTTACTATATTATGACATTTTATGATGCTTTTATGCCTCTATACACTATGACATTTTTTTCACTTTTTTGCCATACTACACTATGACATTTCTCTCATTTTAAGGACATAATATACTATGACTTTTGTATACTTTACCATATTATGACGTTTTTATGCATTAATACACTATGCTATTTTTCACTTTTTTGCCATACTATACTATGTCGTTTTTTCACTTTTTTTGCCATACTATACTGTGTCCTTTTTCTCACTTTTTAGGCCTTAATATACTATGACTTCTGTATAACTTACTATATTATGACGTTTTTTGACGTTTTTATGCATTAATACACTATGCCATTTTTTCACATTTTTTGCCATACTATACTACGTCCTTTTTCTGACTTTTTAGGCCTTAATATACTATGACTTTTGTATACTTTACCATATTATGGCGTTTTTATGCATTAATACACTATGCTATTTTTCACTTTTTTGCCATACTATACTATTTATTATTTTTCACTTTTTTGCCATACTATACTATGTCCTCTTTCTCACTTTTTAGGCCTTAATATACTATGATTTCTATGTACCTTACCATATTATGACGTTTTTATGCATTAATACACTATGCTATTTTTCACTTTTTTGCCATACTATACTATGTCGTTTTTCACATTTTTTGCCATACTATACTATGTCCTTTTTCTCACTTTTTAGGCCTTAATATACTATGACTTCTGTATAACTTACTATATAGTGACGTTTTTTTGTCATTTTTATGTATTAATACACTATGCTATTTTTCACTTTTTTGCCATACTATACTGTGTTGTTTTTTCACTTTTTTTGCCATACTATACTGTGTCCTTTTTCTCACTTTTTAGGCCTTAATATACTATGACTTCTGTATAACTTACTATATAATGACGTTTTTTTGACATATTTATGTATTAATACACTATGCTATTTTTCACTTTTTTGCCATACTATACTATGTCGTTTTTTCACTTTTTTTGCCATACTATACTGTGTCCTTTTTCTCACTTTTTAGGCCTTAATATACTATGACTTCTGTATAACTTACTATATAATGACGTTTTTTTGACATATTTATGTATTAATACACTATGCTATTTTTCACTTTTTTGCCATACTATACTATGTCGTTTTTTCACTTTTTTTGCCATACTATACTGTGTCCTTTTTCTCACTTTTTAGGCCTTAATATACTATGACTTCTGTATAACTTACTATATTATGACGTTTTTTGACGTTTTTATGCATTAATACACTATGCCATTTTTTCACTTTTTTGCCATACTATACTATGTCGTTTTTTCACTTTTTTTGCCATACTATACTGCGTCCTTTTTCTCACTTTTTAGGCCTTAATATACTATGACTTCTGTATAACTTACTATATTATGACGTTTTTTGACGTTTTTATGCATTAATACACTATGCCATTTTTTCACTTTTTTGCCATACTATACTATGTCGTTTTTTCACTTTTTTTGCCATACTATACTACGTCCTTTTTCTCACTTTTTAGGCCTTAATATACTATGACTTCTGTATAACTTACTATATTATGACGTTTTTTGACGTTTTTATGCATTAATACACTATGCCATTTTTTCACTTTTTTGCCATACTATACTATGTCGTTTTTTCACATTTTTTGCCATACTATACTACGTCCTTTTTCTCACTTTTTAGGCCTTAATATACAGTGACTTCTGTATAACTTACTATATAATGACGTTTTTAGACGTTTTTATGCATTAATACACTATGCCAGTTTTTCACTTTTTTGCCATACTATACTACGTCCTTTTTCTCACTTTTTAGGCCTTAATATACTATGACTTCTGTATAACTTACTATATTATGGCATTTTTGACGTGTTTATGCATTAATACACTATGCCAGTTTTTCACTTTTTTGCCATACTATACTACGTCCTTTTTCTCACTTTTTAGGCCTTAATATACTATGACTTCTGTATAACTTACTATATTATGGCATTTTTGACGTGTTTATGCATTAATACACTATGCCAGTTTTTCACTTTTTTGCCATACTATACTACGTCCTTTTTCTCACTTTTTAGGCCTTAATATACTATGACTTCT